GTAATCTACACATCGATTGCTAGGATATCTATCGAGGTTAAAAATGTAATGTCGAGTATCCGTAGTGACATCATATTATGTGACCACCGTATGACCGTAGGGGGCGGTGTTGCACTGTTGCAGGTCACAGAGTATGGTGTAACACCGGGTCCAATCCACCGAACCAGAACCAGTTTCGGTTTAAGTTTCGTTTTTGACGTGCTGCGTTTCTTCACGTTTGCAGTTTAATAACAATAACTAATGGTTTAGTTTTTCCTGTGACTTATTTGCAATATGATAAATGGTAGGAGCATAATATACGCTCCCAATGTTTTGTTGGTCTTTTTTTTTTTGTAAATAATTACCGTTTTTTGCGGTTTTATTTATTAATTTATTTTTGTATCTTGAGATCTATGACGTCATCAAATACTCGAGTTCTACTCGGGTTTTATTATGTTAATGTCGAGTTTAAAAATTATATACTGTTCAACGCCTAGTTGCCAGGTGTATGATAATTATCGTATTTGTACGACAATTTTGCCCTCTGTACGATGCGCAATCAATAACCCCAAAAAAGGCCAAATATACGATAATTTGACCATTCTGTGAATGTGTGGTTGTAATCGGTTGTCATCAGCCTGTCGCAACTGTCTGTCGGAGTTTTTTTGTGAACCCTGAAGGCATCTGTGTTCGCAAACAGATGCACGATTGGCTGAAAATTCCAGCCAATCGTGCTTTTCTAAATGTGACCTACAAGTGATGTTTTTGTGTTTGCTTCAGAACAACGGCCATGATTGACTGAATAGTCCGCTGCGCCCACCCCATGAGTAAGGAAAAGAAAAAAAGAAAAGAAGAAGAAGCAGAGTCGGTGTAGAAGCGGACCTATCACTACTATAGTGCATTAATAGATTTGTTATTTTGGTTATGACGGGTGTACGATAATTTCCCTCAAAATACGATAATTTTTTGTCTCTAGTACAATAATCCTACATTTCTCACCTGGCAACACTGGGGGGGGAGAGATTGTGGGCTGGGGGGAGGAGTGGTAGATACCTTTTTGTTGTGCGCTAGCTTAGCGCTACATTAGTGCCGGCAGTTGTTGATCCAGGTGGGGAGGTTAGGATGCGTGAGAGAAGCGGAGCGTGATGTCTGTAACATCTTAGCTAGCACACCTATATTGCACACTGTTAGCTTAGCTCTACGGATGTGTGAGAGAAGCGGAGCGTGCTCTATTTACACAAGGAGGGCTGTTGGTCAGGCTACTTCTTGTGTAGTGCTCTCTAAAATACTGTAGATATTGAATTGTGTTTACTTATGTAGGTAAATGTAGATATTTAAACACCTGTTAAGTACATCACAATGCAGGAAATTCAATTCAATTCAAAAATACTTTATTAATCCCAAAGGGAAATTATTTGTTGTTGTAACTAGTTATCCTCATTTCATTAAAAGATTTTATAGATACTGATGGCTGTAGACTGGAAGGATCTCTTGTAAAGGTCCATCCCACAGTGGATCCTAAGAAACTGGCTGCAGATGCCGTCTGATCCGTCCACCCAGACTCGGCTGGCCTCTCGGTTCTCCCGGACTGTAGGACCGCCTGAATGCTGGGCTGAACTCCTCCCAGAGCGATGGCCACTCCTCCCAGCAGTCTGCCGAGCTCCTCATCGCTGCGGACAGCCAACTGTAGGTACCGAGGGACGATCCTGTCCTTGCGCTGTCATGAGCCGTGTTTCTTGCTAGTTCCAGGATCTCAGTGATCAGGCACTCGAGCACAGCTGGCAGGTAGATGAGAATGCATCCACAGAACATCCTTTTCATCTCATTTGAGATGTGGGGCTGTAGTTGAGATATTATTTGAGCTTTTGAGATGTTAATCAGCGGCTGTTGGTTGTAGAAAACTGCCTTGTTGCCATGGTTACGCATCATAACAAATGTCCAAAACTAAAAAAGGTTCAGTAAAAATCCTTCCAGGTGCACAGCATCTGATACCAGAGGAAACAATCATCCAAAAAATGTGATTTACATCCAGAAAAATAGGAATTAACGTTTCCAAAAACAAAATCTCAGAATGAAAGTAACAGAGCTGCTCCAACATGCAGCCACCTGGAGCGGCGCAATTCTAGAACTGAAATTCTAGAAATGATAATAATAATAATTCTAGAAATTCATTCTAGAAATGGCATCTAATTTATTCAAAGTTTTTTGGGGGAGGATCCCCAGACACCCCCTCCCCCCCACAGACATTGCAAATGCTTCTGATGCCAATGACCACTGCGTTGTTGAAGCCAGAGCCATTGTCAGCCTGGGGACTAAGCTCTCCTTAAGGTCAGAATCTAGAGTCGCCCCTGCATCTAACTCAAGGAGGCTTGCAGAGGACCGAGACGGCATCTAACAATACTTAATGCTCAAGTAAGAAAACAGACCCAAAGAGTGTAAAGGCTACACAAATTAACATAACCACAAACATCTGA